GAGAGAGAGAGAGAGAGCGAGCGAGCGAGCGAGCGAGGAGGCTGAGCACGCGGAGCAGCAGCACTCTCGCAGCAGCAGGATCAGCGGTCGCTCGGTCGGTTGTCAAGAACGCTCGGGCCGGACTGATCAGGAGGCAGCGGGTAAGATCTCTGACTTACTCTGAAAAACTGCTGACAAGTTTATACAACCACTACCTTTATTGATAACGTTACTTCAGTATCACCTAGACATGTCAGAAAATTACACAGGGATGCAACTAATCTAAATACATGCTTTTATTTGGCAGTTCAGTTTCTGTATCTTGTGTCTATAATGCTTAAGTGTTTTATTAGCTTTTGAGGGTTAATGTATTTTTAACCTTTGAATGTTTTTAGTTTTTGCGTAAGTGTCCGGTGTATCGGGTAGCGCTGCGCGTCTTTATTTATTCATGTGTCAGGCGAGCTCAGAGGGTGAAGTAGCGGGTTGCCATGAAGCGCATGAGGGGTTTCACCTCCGGAAACTTATTGAAGAACCAAATAAAACAGCGTGTCAGCTGATAACCATATTTAATGCGTTATTATGACGGATGGTGACACTGATGAAAGAGGAATGGCTGGCATGCCGTTACTGACATTAAGAGTTTATAATGTTATGTGATGGCAGGAGGTAATTGGTGATGCACGTTATCAGCATGCAAGTGGACTTCCTGCTGGACCTGATCACCTGCGCATGCATAAGCGCTCCAGAGTGATCTACTCCACAGGGCTTTTTCAGTTTGCTTATTTGTTTGTCTTCATGCTCTTATTGTCTGAAGTGTGTATAGTTGTCATCTTTCGCCTTAATTCACATACAGAGTTATAAATTGCTTTGAGCTGAAAGTAGGCTAATATTGATTGAAAGCTGAGATATTGCCTCTGTACATTTGAGCTGGTTCACCTTTTGGTCCATTTGGCCCCACATGCATGAGTTCTGGTGAACTCACTGAACTTATTGATTACAAAGAAAGTTCTCTAGTTCTCCAGTTTTAGGACTTGTCTCTCAACTGTTGATCAGTCTGGGAACACTGGAACAGCTTTAATACAGAAGACATGAGCTCTGTTCCAAAACTTGTGAGCTACA